GTGTATGAAGCCGTAACAATACTCTTTGGTTGCTACAAATAAATGTGATGTGAACGCCGCTGGAACCGCCATCGGTTCCATCCTTCGGGATGAGACCGTTTCTGGACCAGCGGGGTGACATAACCTTTGCAAGAAAGGTACTGGACTAACATTTCATTGACTGAGAGTAGGTCGGAGCATTACGTCTAGTGCCGCATTGGAGCTGCGAATGGAGACATATTTTCATTGCCCTGGAGCAGCAAAACATGGTCGTCAGTGGCTGCGCATATGCAGCGATGATCACCATCTCATCATTGCATCAATGTAAAAGCGTTTGGCCCTGCGAGACAGCGCCAGCCAGCCATCTACCGCCGCAGGCCAGGTAGAGCCGCTGTGCCATAACTATACTGCTTTTCAGCCAATGGCGTTTGGCACTGCGAGACTTACCCGTGTGCAGCGCCAGCCAGTCATCTACCGCCACAGGCCAGGCAGAGACGCTGTGCCATAACTATTCCGATTTTCAGCCAATGGCGTTATTGGTAAAAAATGTGCAAAATCGCAACATGAAATCAACAAGCCTTGCTACATTTATGACACATTTTTTGCTGGCCCGGACCAAAATATTTGCGCAGATTTTTTATTGCCTCCGATAGGCTGATTTGACCTTCCTGTGGTACTTCGGCGCGCCGTTTGCTTAGTGTTCGCCATGTCAAATCAGATACTCTTTTCTTGCAAGGGGCAGACACGATGACTAGAACTTCACCTATGTACCGCCACACAAGCAATCAAGAATCTAATCGACTGGAAGCAACTAAATAAACGTGACGCCGTTGCGGTTCATCGAGTGAAGACGCAGAAATGTGAGGTTCGTTAATGCATAAGAGCTGTGTGCACAATAGACTAATGGTAGAAAAGAAAACTTACAGTGCTGCTCAAATTACACGGGTATTCGTGGAGCGATTGGGGGCTTAGTGTCGATGGTGACACTCTTTCGTCGTTTTATTACATGGATTCGTCAAGGTCGACGGGTCGGGTGGCTGACCCCGGGGAGGGGACCCCGGAGAGAAGGGCGAGAGTACGTATGCGTGAACCAACCTGTGGTGGGCCCTGGGGACGAGGTCATCTCCGGAGGGATTTCTCACAAAAAATGGTACTGTACCAGGACGAATTCTACAACATGTCGCAGGGCAAAGGCCAGGACGAACCCCAGGTAGGACCTTTTAGTAGTCTCCCATTGGTCGGTATGTGGACCACGTGTACACGTTAGAGATCTCCCGACAAAGGCGTTTACACCTTCGAGTGGAGGTTGCCTTTTTCTGCGTATATGAAGGCAGAACAGGACAATAAGAAAATAAAAGGAGCCAGCTACGCATTCCAAATACACGGCTCTCGCCCCTTTCGGACAGTGCACCCTCACCTACCACATAGACAACGAACATTCTGTGGTACAATACATATGGTAGCGGTAGGGTGTTACAGGTATACAGGTGGCATACTCGGATCTGGTTCTGGATCCAACCGTGTCGCTGATCCAATCCGAGAGTAGTGGCTGTAAGCCCACCCCTTACAGTAGCCAGACTGTAATTATAGTACAGTGTCACCGGCGGTACTTTACCCAACCCGCCGGTGCTACCTCCCCCTTCGTAAAGCAAGCAATCACCCCTCCGGTTCTCTGGATCTTGGAGCTACTAGGACGAGTCTCTGGTACGTCCCCACACCCAGGGGTCCCCCTTTTAGGTTGCTTCCTTCCTTCGGGTCGTACGTACGCGTGTCATA